CCTTCGGTGGAGCGCTCTGTGGGGCCACGAATCGGTGGGGCTCCGTATGGGGCGACGAAGCGCTGTACTGGGTGGTGCAGGACGCATGCGGGCGGTCCCACTGGGACCTTCGATGGGGGTCCCTATGGGCCACGAAACGCTGTACTGGGTGTGCGGGGCGCATGCGGGCGGTCCCACTGGAACCTTCGATGGGGCTCCCCATGGGGCCACGAAGCGCTGTACTGGGTGGGGGCGACGCATGCGGACGGTCCAACTGGGACCTTCGGTGGGGCCCCCTATGGGGCCACGAAGCGCTGTACTGGGTGTGCGTGACGCATGCGGGCGGTCCCACTGGGACCTTCGGTGTGGCTCCCTATGGGGCCACGAAGCGCTGTACTGGGTTGTGCGGGACGCATGCAGGCGGTCCCACTGGGGCCGTCTGTGGAGCTCCCTATGGGCCACGAAACGCTGTACTGGGTGTTGCGTGACGCATGCGGGCTGCTCCACTGGGACCTTCGGTGGAGCTCCCTATAGGGCCACGAAGCGCTGTACTGGGTGGTGCGTGACGCATACGGGCGGTCTCACTGGAGCTGTCGATGAGGCTCCCATGGGCCACGAAACGCTGTACTGGGTGGTGCGTGACGCATGCGGGCGGTCCCACTGGGACCTACGGCGGAGCTCCCTATAGGGCCACGACGCGCTGTACTGGGTGGTGCGCGACGCATGCGGGCGGTAGCGCTGGGGCCGTCGGTGTAGCTCCTCATGGGGCCACGAAGCGCTGTACTGGGTGTGCGTGACGCATGCGGGCGGTCCCACTGGGACCTTCGGTGGAACTCCCTACGGGGCCGCAAAACGCTGTGCTGGGTGGTGCGTGACGCATGCGGGCGGTGCCACTGGGGCTTTCGGTGGGGTTTCCTATGGGGCCGCGAAACGCTGTACTGGGTGGTGCGTGACGCATACGGGCGGTCCCACTGGGGCTGTAGATGAGGCTCCCTATGGGCCACGAAACGCTGTACTAGGTGGTGCGCGACGTATGCGGGCGGTCCCGCTGGGACCTACGGCGAAGCTCCGTATAGGGCCACGAAACGCTGTACTGGGTGGTGCGTGCGCATGCGGCAGTCCCACTGGGACCTTCGGTGGAGCTCCCTATGGGGCCACGAAGCGCTGTACTGGGTGGTGCGTGACGCATGCGGGCGGTCCCAGTGGGGCCTTCGGTGGAGCTCTTTATGGGGCCACGAAACGTGTGAGGGGTATTCTGAAACGGGTGATGATGATGATGATGATGATGATGATGATGATGATGATGATGATGATGATGATGGTGGAGGAGGAGGGAGGAGGGGGAGGAGGGAGGAGGAGAGGAGGAGTGAGGACGCGGAGCGCTGTCACTTCAAAACGAGGACCCAACACCACGGGATGGTTGTGAACAGTGACATAATCATAGAAACTCGGAGGTCCGCGCGCATTTCTCGAATCGGCGCGGGCTGTTGCGTGCGGCCGGCACTGCGGAAATCACGAAGTACCGATACGGCTGCTTCCCGGGCCTCTCCGAGGGTGCGTTCTGACCAGAATTTCGATGCGAATCCAGCGGTGGCGACGAGGGCCTCCCAGGAGGCCCAAACAAGCGAAAACGATGGAAGAATACGAGTCGGACCCAAGCCAGAAGAGCACCCTTCAAAAACACGAGACCCCCCGCCGGCCAACACGCACAGAGCTTCCTAGGAGACCCCCCCCAGGATGCGCGAGAACATCCAACGGGCACGAAAAGCATGATGGTACTCTCCCCGAGCTGACTTCGATATACCTCGGTCCGACTTTAGCGGTATGGTTAGGCCTGTCCCCCTACAGGCCGATTTTCGAGGAAGAATGGAAATTATCCTGGCGAAGGACCCAACCGTATGTAGTTGTGAATACCGCAATGATGGGTATCGTATTCGGTGGAGCTCCCTATGGAGCCACGAAGCGTTGCACTGGGTGGGGGAGACGCATGCGAAGTTTGCCACTGGGGCCTTCGGTGGAGCTCCCTGCGGGCCACGAAACGCTGCACTGGGTGGGGGAGGCGCATGCGGACTTTGCCACTGGGGCCTCCGGTGGAGCTCCCTATGAGGCCACGAAGCGTTGTGCTGGGTGGGGGAGACGCATGCGGACTTTGCCACTAGGGCTTTCAGAGGAGCTCCCTATAGGCTACGAAACGTTGTGCTGGGTGGGGAAGACGCATGCGGACTTTGCCACTGGGGCCTTCGGCGGAGCTCCCTTTGGGGCCACGGAACGTTGTGCTGGGTGGGGGAAACGCATGTGGACTTTGCCAGTGGGGCCTTCGGTGGAGCTCTCTATGGGACCACGGATCCGTGGGGTTCCCTATTGGGCCACGAAGCGCTGTACTGGGTGTGCGGGACGCATGCGGGCGGTCCCACTGGAACCTTCGGTGGGGCTCCCCATGGGGCCACGGAGCGCTGGACTGGGTGTGCGTGACGCATGCGGACGGTCCCACTGATACCTTCGGTGGGGCTCCCTGTGGGGCCACGAAATGCTGTACTGTGTGGGGGCGACGCATGTGGACTTTGCCACTGGGACCTTCGGTGGGGCTCCCTATGGGGCCACGAAGCGCTGGACTGGGTGGTGCGCGACGCATGCATGACGCATGCGGGCGGTCCGACTGGGGCCGTCGGTGGGGCTCCCTGTGGGGCCACGAAACGCTGTACTGGGTGGTGCGTGACGCATGCGGGCGGTGCCATTGGGACCTACGGTGGACCACGAAACGCTGTACTGGGTGGTACGTGACGCATGCGGTGGCACTAGGGCCGTCGGTGGAGCTCCCTTTGGGGCCAAGGAACGCTGTACTGGGTGTTGCGTGACGCATGCGGGCGGTCCCAGTGGGGCCTTCGGTGGAGCTCTATATGGGGCCACGACGCGCTGTACTGGGTGGTGCGTGACGCATGCGGGCGGTCCCACTGGGGCCGTCTGTGGAGCTCCCTATGGGGCCACGACGCGCTGTACTGGGTGGTGCGTGACGCAAGCGGCCGGTGCCTCTGGGGCTTTCGGTGGAGCTCCCTATGGGGAGACGAAACGCTGTACTGGGTGGTGCGTGCGCATGCGGGCGGTCCCGCTAGTGCCTTCGGTGGAGCTCCATATGGGGCCACGAAGCGCTGTACTGGGTGGTGCGTGACGCATGCGGGCGGTCCCACTGTGGCCTACGATGGAGCCCCCTTATGGGGCCACGACGCGCTGTACTGGGTGGTGCGTGACGCATGCGGGCGGTCCCACTGGGGCCGTCTGTGGAGCTCCCTATGGGGCCACGAAAAGCTGTACTGGGTGGTGCGTGACGCACGCGGGCGGTCCCAGTGGGGCCGTCGGTGATGGGGCCACGAAACGTGTGAGGGGTGTGCTGAAACGGGTGATGATGATGATTGTGATGGGGGAGGGAGGAGGTGGAGGAGGGAGGAGAGGAGGAGTGAGGACGCGGGGCGCTCTCTTCAAAACAAAGATCCAACACCACAGGATGCTTGGGAAATAGCCAAATCATGCTCAAACACTGCCAACAGATACTCAATTTACCCCGGCGACGTAGCCAATCCCTGCGCAATGCGGGGCATGGGTAGCTTGGGCTACTTTATAAGGATGGGATGACTGGACATGGACGCATGAATTTCTGCGACCAGCATCTGGGAAGTCCCATTTGAGTCCGCCACGGGGCCCCACTATGCTGGCCCCACTAGCAGGCCTCGAACGTGCCGACAAGTTCACAGATCGCAGCCCCCCAGGGATGGCGAGGTCCCGTTTGAATCTGCGTAGGACGTCACTGTGCTGGACCCCCCAGCAGCCCTCGAAAGTGGCGACAGTTTCACAGATCGCAGCCCCCCAGGGATGGCGAGGTCTAATTTGAATCTGCGTACGACGTCACTATGCTGTACCCCCCAGCTGGCCTCGAAAATGGCGACAATTTCACAGATCGCACCCCCCAGGGATGGCGAGGTCCCGTTTGGGTCCGCGTAGGACGTCACTGTGCTGCACCCCCCAGCAGGCCTCGAAAGTGGCGACAAGACAATTTTACAGATCGCAGCCCCCCCCCCCCAGGGATGGCGAGGTCCCGTTTGGGTCTGCGTAGGACGTCACTGTGCTGGATCCCCCAGCAGGCCTCGAACGTGGCGACAATTTCAAAGATCGCAGCCCCCCAGGGATGGCGAGGTCCAAAGTGGGTCTGCGTAGGACGTCGCTGTGCCCCAGCTGGCCTCGAACTTTGCGATCATTTCACAGAGATCGCACCCCCCAGGGATGGCGAGGTCCCGTTTGGGTCCGCGTAGGACGTCACTGTGCTGCACCCCCCAGCAGGCCTCGAAAGTGGCGACAGTTTCACAGATCGCAATCCTCAAAGGATGGCGAGGTCCCGTTTGGGTCCGCGTAGCACGTCACTGTGCTGGGCCCCCCAGCAGCCCTCGAAAGTGGCGACAGTTTCACAGATCGCAGCCCCCAAAGGATGGCGAGGTCCCGTTTGGGTCTGCGTATGACGTCACTGCGCTGGACCCCCCAGCAGTCCTCGAAGGTGGCGACAATTTTACAGATCGCGGCCCCCCAAGGATGGCGAGGTCCCGTTTGGGTCCGCGTAGCACGTCACTGTGCTGGACCCCCCAGCAGCCCTCGAAAGTGGCGACAGTTTCACAGATCGCAGCCCCCCAGGGATGGCGAGGTCCCGTTTGGGTCTGCGTAGGACGTCACTGTGCTGGACCGCCCAGCAGCCCTCGAAAGTGGCGACAATTTCACAAATCGCAGCCTTCCCCCCCCCCGAGGCAAGACGGGCAGGAGGCAGGAGGGAGGCGGGAGGAGGAGGAGGACGCGACCACAGTCCTCTATTCATAACGAATGCCCAACCAAGAAGGGTTGGGGAAAAATGGTCCCCAAACTATTCGTTGATTAGTTTGGGACCTTCTTTCTGCAGAGGGACACGCCCGACTTCACTTTAGCGGTATGGGATGGGTGCCTTCTCCTCCTCCCCCGGGGCAGCGCGGCCGCCCGGGGCGCACGGCTCCTGCAGGGCGTTCAGGACCTGCCGGGGGGCGCGGTGCCGTCGGGGCCGCGGGCAGGGGCACGGAACGGCGCGCCGGCGGCCTGGTCCGCGCCCCCCGCTCCTCCAGCTCCGTCCTCCTTTCTCCATATCCTCCTCTCCCCTCCTTCTCCACTCCGCCCTCTGTCCTCCTCGCTCCGTTCGACGCCCTCGGGGCCCAGCGGAGCGAGCCGCGGGGACAAATGCGCAACGGCACGATGCCTCGCTAACCTCCAGGCCCCTCATGCCGCGGCGGGGGGCCGCCGCTGCCGCCGCAGCCTGGTCCTTCGAGGGAATCGGGGCCAGGGGCCCCCCTAGCCGAGACCTCGAGGGCTGCGGGGAGGCCCTGCCAACGAAGACTTCGCCTGCAGCTGCCGCCCGCGTCGTCCTCCGAGATCGCGAAGGGCGCCACTTCGATGGGCAAGTCGGGCTTCTCTAGTCACGCTTGGACCTTGCCGTCGATGTGTTGCTGGATGCCCTCGGCGAGAAGCTGACTCATGCGCATCGGATCGGGTACTCGTTGGTCCCGAACGTGCGAGACCGTCCCTAGTGGCTGGCTGAACGTGCATAGGCGACCGCTGAAACGCTGAAGCTCGGGTGTTTCTGTGTTGGGGGGGCGGGCGGGAGTGACCGAGACGGCTTGGGGGCGGGGAAAGCGTCTTGACCACTATTCCTGATTAACAAGTACTCACTCCCCCAGGCGACCGGCCGACCGGCAGCGAACCAGGACCAATGCACCCCCTCCACCACCATGCCTGTCAAACAACACTGTAAAACCCACACTGGAGCGAAATATTGGGTCATGATTGGGGGGTGCGAACACTTCGTGCTGTTTTTTTGATAGGGACGGCGGGGGTGCCTGCATATTGCCTGCTCTGCGCAGGGTTTGCATCCTTATCAAAACCAAACAAAACGCACATTAGCAAAATCTGGATCATGCGCGGGCGCCCCGCGATTACTTTGCATTGGTTTTGATCTGGACGGCGGGAGTGCTGGCATATTGCCTGCTGTGTGCAGGCCCACCAGAAACGATGATGGCCACCCCGCCGCGATTGCGCTCTGGTTTTCGACAAGGATGGTCGGGGCCGACACGTTTCCCGACGTGTACTGCCACGTGCGCAGGCGCATCTGGCGCATTCTGCGCGTGCCCCCAACGTGGCGCACCTGGCGCCCCTGGAGTCTGCGGCACATATGGCGCGCGTGGACCACGTGGCGCATCTGGCGCACCAAGCGTGCCGGGCACGCTTGGGCCGCAAGGGTGTCTGGCGCACCTGGCGCACCCGGCGCGCCTGGCACGCGTGGCGCACCGCGCCCCAACGTTGCGCACACCGGGCATGTTTCGCTCCCCAGTAGCTGTCCACCCAAAGACTACAATTGAACACGCTGCTGCTCGGGTGCTACTTATATGTTGGGAGTGCCCGTGGGAATGAGCGAGACGGCTTGCGGGCGGCAAGGGTGTCTTGACTCCTACCCCTACCCCCCCCCTGGACAAGGCGTTTTGCGAAGCGTTGGGACGTCCAAGATGGACTCGGCGAGAAACCAAACCCATTGATTTTACGATGGCTTTGGCCACAATTTGGCATCCTGGGGGGGCGCCGCCAATTGGGTACCCCCCTCCTTTGATCGATCTCTTCCAAGATGGCTCCAAGATGGCCTCCGAAGCTGCCAAGGATGCCCCAAGACGGCCCCAATGAGACGCCCCACTAGGCCCCAAGAGACCCCCAAACTACCCCAAGAGGCTCCCAAGAGACCCCCCTCCAGAGGCATCCGAGACGCCCAAAGAAGCCTCGGCGGAAGGCCAACCACGTTGATTGTACGAGGGTTTTGGCTACATTTTGGCCTCCCGGGGTGGGGGGGACCTTAATGGAGGAGCCCCCCCCTTCATGTGATCGATCTCCTCCAAATTGGCCCCAAGATGGCCCCCGAGGCTCCCAAGTGTGCCCCAAACCAACTCCACGGGTTACACAAGATGCCTCAACAGGCCCCCAAGATGCCCCCCTAGAGGTTCCCAAGAAGCCCTCAAGAGGCTCCAAGGGGCCCCCTCACGACGCCCCAAGAGGCCTTGGCGAGAAGGCCAACATCACTAATTTGACAATGGTCTTGGCCACTGTTTGGCCTCCTGGGGGATCTGATTTATTTCCTCCACACGGCTCCCAAAATGGCCCCCGAGGCTCCCAAGGGTGCCACAAGACTGCCCCGAGACTGCCCCAAGAGGTGCCCAGGAGGCCCCACGAGGCCCCCAAGACGCCCCCATGATGCTTCCAAGAGGCCGCTAATAGAACCCCGGGAAGGCCCAATATGCCCCCCAGCGGCACCCCAATCACCTCAAACAAACCCCGAAATTGTCAAGAAACCTCCCAGACGACCCAAGAAGACTCCACGAAACTCCCGAAATACATTCGAAGATACTCCGAGAGGCGCCATAGGCCTCTGGCCTTTCTGTTCGCCCTCCCCCTCCTCCTCCTCCTCCTTGTCCTCCTCCTCTTCCTCATCCGCCAATTCCTCCTTTTTCCTCCTCCCTCCTCCCCCTCCCCCCCTCCTCTGCACTCCTCCTCCGCCTCCTCCTCCTCCTCCTCCCCCTCTTGGTGTATGACGTCCTACCCGCCCTTTCTTCCACTGCAAGCTCCTCCACACCCGGGATCGGGGCAACTCGCCTGGGCATTGTTTGTGGATGGGCTGGCGAGGTTACTTTTTTGCTCGCAACTGCAAGCGGACAGCCGCGCGGCGTCAAGGAGTCGAACGAAAACCAAGCCTACGTGGAGCAGGGCGGATGCCCACACTACAGCAGGCTAGCGCGGAAAAAAACGGGGCCGAAACCGAGCGCGAGCGGCGAACGGTCAACGAAGAAGGACAGGGTGGATTTGAGCTCGCTCAAGCTTCGCTCTGCAGGGGGGGGGGGGAACACGTTATTTCCGACGTCATTTCCGACGTTTTTCGGTAGCCGGGGACAGGGGGGTATAGAAAAATCCACTTCCGGAGCCCGGACTGCCCAAGACAGCCCAAGAGGAACCCAAGAGAGGCCCCAGAGGCCCCCTAGACAACGCAAGAGGGCCCCGAATCGCCGAAACATCGTTCGAACCGCCCACAAAGCCCCGAAGACAGTTCCAGAAACCTCCAAGACGTCCCCAAGTCTCACCCCCCCTGGATCGGCGGCGCTGGCCGGAGGCCAGCCCAATAATTCGCTGAGCAACAAATGCTGTAAGTGTAGCTGTACTGTAGGGTGCTACAATAAATCATCATTAGCGGCGGGCATGCTGTAGCTGCGACGAAGCTAGCGTGCGGCGGCCTGGGAGGGTTATGAATTCGAAGGGGTTGCCCGAAAAGGGTCAGGCCGAAAAAACGTCAGAAAGGAATGTGATAAGGAATTTCCAGAATTAGAAAGGAATTCCGGATGCCAGGGGCAATTCTGCATCTCAGAAACAATCGAATCAGAATTGCCCGAGAAGCGCCAGGGCCAGGAAGGAAGGAGTTAGAAGGGAATGTGATAAGGAATTTCCAGAGTTGGAAAGGAATTTGGAATACCAGGGGTAATTCTGCATCTCAAAGACAATCGAATCATGATTCCCCGAGAAGCGCCAGGGCCAGGAAGGAAGAAGGAGTTAGAAAGGAATGTGATAAGGAATTTCCAGAGTTAGACAGGAATTTCGATTACCAGGGGTAACTCTGCATCTCAGAGACAATCGAATCAGAATCGCCCGAGAAGCGCCAGGGCCAGGAAGGAAAAAGGAGTTAGACAGAAATGTGATAAGAAATCTCCAGAGTTCGAAGGAATTTCGAAGACCAGCGATAATTCTGCATCTCCGAAAAAAACGAATCATAATTGCCCGAGAAGCTCGGGTCGGGCGAAAGGGGGGGATAACGGCCTGTCCGAACTTTGGTTATCAGGATCGAGGAGGTTCACGGATCAACAGACAGACGATCTGCAGACTAGAGAAGCTCGGCGCGGGCGCGGCGCACGCGGCACTGTGGCGCACCGCGGTCAAACGACCTCCATGATTGACGTGGTCCTCTTGATGCGGAAAAATTGGTGGGCCGTTGCCCTGCGAAACAAACCGGGCTGCGAAATCAATCCAAGGCGCTCCCGTACGGAGGATGGAGACGATCCTGGACATTCTTCGAAACGCTCCCAAACCATATCATAGTTGAAGACATGCCGCTGGTCTGCAGTAGGATAGAGGAGGATGAGGATGAGGATGAGGATGAGGATGAGGATGAGGATGATGATGATGATGATGATGATGATGATGATGATGATGATGATGATGATGATGATGATGATGATGATGAGGGGGAGGAGGAGGAGGAGGAGGAGGAGGAGGAGGAGGAGGAGGAGGAGGAGGAGGAGAAGCGCAATTCCCCACTCATTCCTCCGCCTGCTCCTCTCGCCTTCCCCCTCCTCTCTGGCCACTGCTCCCTTCCTTGCTCCCACTCTTCCTCCTGCTCTTGCTCCCCTGGTTCTCATGCTCCCCCTTCTCCCCATGCTGCCCCCGCTCCTCCTACTCAGCCTGCCCCCCTCGTCCCAACACGCGGGGCATCAGACCCTCACGCCAACATCAGCACGACTGTCTTACGGCTGGGCCGAGCTCCAGACCTTCGACGTCTTGTCGTTCGATTCTATGGACTCTGAAACACGACCACGCCATCGGGACCGGCTCTTCGCTGCGGGTGGCCTTCTGCGGACGCCAGAATGGCCACAGACCACATGCCGCGCTAGAGGATGTCTGGGCATCTATACATATCTACGTATGCACCTGTCCATTCTGGGCGCCCCCGGGGCTTGCGCGCGCCGCTTCCGACACCCAGCCGAAGACGACGACGACCTCAAGAGACCTCTGGAGGTCTCTGCAGGATCCGTGGAGGCCTCCGAGAGAGCCGCAAGGACGATAACACAGCCCAGATCCTCCGCCTTCGAACCGCGGGACGACGACCCGCGGCGGCGGCGACTTGCGGCGACGACGGCGACGATTCGCGGCGACGGCGACGGCGGCGGGCGACGACCCGCGTCGTCGGCGACGGCACGCGGCGACGGCGAACGCGGCGACGGCGAACGCGGCGACCGCCGGCGGCCATCGGCGACGACGGCGCCCGGCGCCCGGTGTCGGCGGCGAGCGGCGGGGACGGCGGCCTCCAGCGCCTCGCGCGGCGGGGCCGCCGAGGCCGGCGAGCTCAGCAGCACCAGGAAGTCCCAGGCCCCGCCGCCGCCCGCCGAGCGCGCCTCTCGGCGTCGGCCGCCGCCGCTGACAGCCGCCCGCCGCTGGCCGCCGCCCGTCGCCGCCCGTCGCCGCCAGCCGCCGCCGCCGCACCCGTCGTCGTCGTCGTCGTCGTCGTCGTCGTCGTCGTCGTCGTCGTCGTCGTCGTCGTTGTCGTCGTCGTCGTCGTCGTCGTCGTCGTCGCAGTGGTCGTGGTCGCAGTGGTCGTGGTCGTGGTGGTGGTCGTCGCAGTGGTCGTCGTCGTGGTCGTCGTGGTCGTGGTCGTGGTCGTCGTCGGTGCGCGCGGGGTTGGAAGCGTCCTCGGAGGCCCCGCGGAAGGGGGCTCGGCGGGCTCGCGGAGGCCCGCTCGAAGGTGTGCCGTCCCTCCAAGGCAGCGGGGGAGGAACACGCATCTTCCTCCTGCTCCTCCTCCTCCTCCTCCTCCTCCGCCTCCGCCTCCTCCTCCTCCTCCTCCTCCTCCGCCTCCTCCTCCTCCTCCTCCTCCTCCTCCTCCTCCTCTGGGCTTGCCCAGCCTAGGGTGCTGGCTTGGCAGACGTGGGTCTTTAATGTTCGCGTCGAGTGCTGGAGGGTGTCCCCGTCCGACTCGGAGACCAGGGTCAGGGGCTTACAGTGCTCGCTGGTTCTCGTGTGCAGGAGTCGGGCGGTGTGTGTAGAGTTCTGGCTCGAAGTCAGGCAGGGGGAGGTAGCAGGAATCTGTTTCCCCGTGACGCCATGAGCGAGCAGCTTCTGGCTGGCACCTGAGCCGCGCCATGATTTCACACCAGTGGACGATCGGATCGGATCGGCTCGGCCTTGCGCGTGTCGTGCAGCGTGGAACTGTACACATCGTGTGATATTGTGTGCTCACGGTCTACCTCCGACTATTCGCCCAACGTATGTGCGAGGTCATGGGTTAAGCGCGCTGGGCAGCTAGTGTGCACATGTACAAGAGGTTGGACACACAGAGACAAGGATGAGGGTGAAGATGAAGAGGTGAGACTCGAAGTTCAGCGGACCACTTCGACCTCTATACTCCTCCCCTCTCACCAACTCCCACTTCTCGCCATAAGCTCAACCTTATCTCCTCACTTAACCCCCAGACGTGTCGGTAGGGCGGGTCGGGCGTTTCGCCTTTTGAGGCTGTTCCACCACTCACGATCCTGAAGTTTGAAATTTGCATCGACTTGACGGATGTTTTCTTGTATTCAAAATGTGGCTCTCGCCTGAGCGCCGCGCACATTAGTTCACCCAGACCGCGTGCAGCAATGTGACGGATGGAGGGCGGGCAGCTTTCCGATTGTTGCTCTTGTCATAACGCCGCTCACATTCGCCTTGAACGTTTGCTGCAACTTCAAAGATGGAGGGCGGTTTCTTTTCGACATGTGGCGCTCGCCTTAGCGCAGCGCACATGTTTTCAAAGTTGGCGACCGTCCAAGGGATTCGTACGGTTAAGTTCCAATACTCGTGTTCTGGCACGACTTAAGATAGGCAAAACGCCACGGACACGTTGATTCGCGCTGTTGAAATGCCAAGAATGGTGTTCTGGCACGTTATAGGGTTGTCAAGACGTAGCCGTCACGTAGATCCACGGCGTTGAAATCCCAAGGCTTGTGCTTTGACGCGATCGGCGATTCTTTGTGTTCTCTTTTAGTAGGCCACATCGCGCAATGAACATCAATTCTTGTAGGGGGCTGTGAAGAGGGAACTTGGAGGGAAGGATTATCGCAACATCGTTGGTGGGTCTTGGCTTTCCATTGGTCCAATTCCTCCACCTTCACTCCTGCTGCTCCCCCTCTTGCTCCGTGTCCTCTCCTCCTCTTCCTCTTTCTCCTCCTCCTCCTCCTGCTCCTCTTCGTCGTCGTCCTCCTCCTCCTCGTCCTCCTCCTCCTCCTCCTACTCCTCGTCCTCCTCCTCCTCATCCTACTCCCCGTCGTCGTCCTCCTCCTCCTCCTTCTCCTCCTCCTCCACCTCCTCCTCCTCCTCGTCCCTTCCTTTTCTTGATGATAAACTCCTCCCTGTCGCACCCTTCGGCTGGTCGGAAGGGCGGGCCGGGCGTTTCGCCTGAGACTTCCTCACCATTTGTGAGCCTGAAGCTTGATTAGACAATGTGAGCATTTTCACAGATGGAGGGCGGGTCGCTTACAAAATGTGGCTCTCGCCTGAGCGCCGCGCGCATTAATCTTAAACGTTTGCAAGGGTTTTACATATTGAGGGCGGGCGGTCTCGCCTTACCGTTGCGCACGTTCGCTTTCAACATTTGCTAGAGTTTCACAGATTGGGGGCGGCTCGTTTTCAAAATGTGGCTCTCGTCTTAGCGCCGCGTGCACTCATCTGACACATTGGCAAGAGCTTCGCGGATTGATGATGGCTCGTTTTCGAAACGTGGCTCTCGCCTTTGCCCCGCGCGCATTCGTTTATATATGTGTATATATATATACACAATGTAAGGCTTTCACGGATTCGCATGGTCAGCGTACCAGAAGTTGTGCTTTGGAAGGATTCAGGACTGTAAAGGTGCAACAGATACTTGGGGGGCGGAAAGATACGGATACGTGTTGTCCCCGGACCTCTCTTGGGGTGCGTTTTGACCAGAATTTCGAGGCGAATCCAGCGGTGACAACGAGGATTCCCCAGGAGGACCAGTAAAGGCCGAAAACGAAGGGGGACAACACGTATCTGTATCTTTTTCTCCCCCGAGATACGCTGGTTCGCAGTGTTGAAATCCCCAGAGCGGTGTCCTGGCACGGTTTTAGGACTGCCAAGACGCAACAGTCAGGTGGATCCGCGGCGTTGGAGTCCCGAGAATGGTGCTTTGGCATGCTTCAGGGTCTTCGAACGGTTGTCTCCCAACGAGGCAGTTCGTTCAATGGAAATGACAATTCTTGTATGGGGCCTGCGAAGAGGGAGCTTGCAGGGAGGGTTTCTTCCATCATCGTTGATTGGGTTTACACTGGTCCTCCTCCTCCTCCTCCTCCTCCTCCTCCTCCTCCTCCTCCTCCTCCTCCCCCTCGTCCTTCTCCTCCTCCTCCTGATTCTCTTCCTCCTCCTCCTCCTCCTCCTCCTCCCTCCTCTATCTCCGCCCGTCTCTGGCTCCTTCGCCTCCCCCTCTCATTCTCCTCTCCCGAGGAACGGAGAAAAGCACCAACATGATGAGGTCCGTGCTGTTTCCTCGGATCTGCGCTGAACCCCCTTCCTGGCGCGCGGGGCGCGCCAGGCGCGGCGCGGGAGGCGCAACCACGGGGTCCCAAGCGCCAATCCCAGACATCCGCGCGGACCTCCGAGAGACTATGTTTATGCCGTTTTCGGTGGTTCGATTGCCTCCATGCTGCCACGTTGCCAGCATGCGAGGGAGGCTCCACGCGCGCCGTGGGCCCTGCCTGGCAACTACCTCCATATCCGCTGGCGATTCGATTTCCTCCCCCTCCTCCCCCTTCCTTCCTCCCCAACCTCCCTCCGCCCTCCACCACCCCATCCCTCTTCCCCCCCCGCCCTGCGCCCCCCCCCCCCGCCCCCTCCCCCCTCCCCGTCCTCCCCGTCCCACCTCCCGCCTCACACCTCCCTCGCTCCACCTTCCTCCTCGTCCTCCTCCCCTGAGATCCGACGTTGCGGAGAAAGTTGCAACATCGTGGAAAACCACTGCTCGAGCCCCAGACCGCATCCTTCTGCATCATTTTTCGAGCCAGATCGATCTGCAAGGCCCGAGCACAACGATGTTTAAAACGCGCTGGCCTTCAGAACGAAAAACAAAACGAACCCGACCGTTGTACAACGAACGATTTGTGAGGGTCCCAAGGCCCATTGTTGGGCGAAAACGCCCGGTGTGAAAACTTTGTTAACGCCCGGAGTTCGGGATCCTGCCCCCCCGACGACGACGACAACAAGGACGGCGCTGATGCTAAAGCTGACGACGCCGGCGGCGGCGACGGGCCGATTTTCCACCACCATTGCCAGAAGTAGGAGAGGGAGGAGGAGGAGGAGGAGGAGGAGGTGGAGGAGGATGAGAAGGAGGAGGAGGACGACGACGGGGAGTAGGATGAGGAGGAGGAGGACGAGGAGTAGGAGGAGGAGGAGGAGGACGAGGAGGAGGAGGACGACGACGAAGAGGAGCAGGAGGAGGAGGAGGAGGAGGAGGAGGAGAACGAGGAGGAGGAGGAGCAGGAGCAGGAGGAGGAGGAGGAGGAGGACGAAAACAAGGAGGAGGAGGAGGAGGAGGAGGAGGAGGAGGAGGAGGAGGAGGAGGAGGAGGAGGAGGAGGAGGATGCGGACCTCCTCTTCCTCCCTTCTCCCCCGCCCTGCCTCTATGGAGGTGGTGGTGGAAGATCGGCCTCTCAGCCGCTCGACTTTCGGCGGGGGCCCCCGGCGCCGAGTGCGCCAGCGTGCGGATGGCGTCGACGCCCCCGGCGCCGGGCGCCGGGCGGCCGGCGGTCAGCGGCCCCCGCAGGGGGCTCGGCGCCGAAGCTGCCGCGACGACGACGGCGGCGACGCGATGGCGACGCGCCGACGCCGCGCGGGACTCCGCCAGGGGTGCCAAGACGACGACGACGACGACGAGGGCGAAGGCGAGGACGAGGACGACGCGTCGACGCCTCTCGGGACCCGGCGCGACGACGGCGCGACTGGATTCGCCTTTTGCGGCACGGCGCAGCGCGCGACGGCGGCAAGGACGAGGCAAAACCCCCCTTTAGTGCAGCGTGGTTTAGTGCAAACGACCTCGGGCCCCAAACCTCGCGGGCGCAAGCCTGGAAGATGACGGCTGCGGCGCCCTGTCGAGTACCGAAAGCGGACAATGCACTGATCGACGTGTCAAGGTGGGGTTTCTGTCCACCCCCGAGCAAAGAACACTCGGGATCTCCGATCGGGGGCGCACTGGCCCGGAACAGTGCAAATCGGGGCGATTGGGCTCTGCGGGATCCTGCAGAATCCTGCGAACTCCTCTGCAGGACCCTGCGCGCAAGCCCGGGTCAGCGCACTAGAAGAAACGACGGCATAGGCATACAGATAAACTTTTGGCGCTCCGCGCGGGCTTCTTGGATCTGCCCTCCCCGGCG